GCAATCGAATTGTGACACGCGATGAATACAGATTAAACGGCGCATCGACCTGCTTGAAGAAGCGCTTCTTGAAAATCTTGATTAAATATTTGATGAGCAGAGTTTAAAGTACAAAAAGATGGCTACCATCTTTGATTATCTCCGACAGTTTCATCGCTCGTCACGCCATGATTGTGCAGTTCGACAAAAAAATCCACAGTAAAACAAAGTGTGAATCAATCACGCTGAACGCATTTGTATGCGTACGCTTAAACAACGACAAATAACGAACGATTCTCCACGTTCGATGTTTGCAGTCCGACTAGGAAATCTCGCGGAATATCGAACTTGATGAAATGAAAAAAAAAAGCACTTTTCAAATTTCACGCAACAGGAAAGATGTAAAAATATGTATATAATTATAGCGGAAAAATGTAGATAATTTAATAAAAACATCTCATTAAAAAAATTTCAATTAAAAAATTGTATTATAAGATAAATACTTTTGAAAATTATCTAGAAATCGAGAGAAGTTAACTTTTATAAAAATGTTCTCGCGGTAAACAAACTTCCAATCATTAAATGCAACTGTACGATTATTACTTATCATCACTGTGTATTAGAACACGATAAAAAAATATCGCATAGCGACAGTGACGCGCGACAGGCTGTGAGAAGATTGGAAAATTGAGGAGATAACGGTCCCGTTGTGTCGACGAGTAAACTTGGAAAGACATTAGCTCGTCGTTAAGCGACTTTCAAACCCGAAGGAAATCCGCGCGCGTTTGCTTTCTCTTTATCTCACGAGTTTATTTAGTCAAAGTGCGATTGTATTATCTGCACTTTCGATAAGGACACAAACAAAATAGGTACACGGTTATCTGTCTTAAAAAAAAAAAAAAAGCGATAAAAAGACAGGTTTTTTTTTATACCGGTATGCGATCGATCTTATCAGGCGATTCTTCGAACCTCAACATGATTCCGATGACAATTGATTACCGTGAATTCGAAGAAGCAAAGTGCACTCACAATGATAACGTTTCTTCTTTTCTTCGTATACGATGTATAGTCCACTGATCAAATGATCTCATGGACAGGAATTTTAAATTCTGATATTGCTTTGTCTTACTAATGTTATCTGTTTAAAATGTTTTAAAGCAGAACCTATTCTCCTTTATAAAATACAGGATCCAATACTCCTGTACGCCAACAATATTGTTACACAATTGATTCTCGGAATTGTTGAATTAAAAAGATACAATAAGATCTTGTATCACGGAGCCCTTAACATTCGCACGTTTATGCACATGCATGTATGCGTACGCGTTACAAAGTGTAAGGTGCATGTCTGATATCGTGATGCGATGCTCATTAATTGCATATTATCTCGCGGCAATTAATGCGTGATCTAGCCAATTACGAGCGAACGAGGTGCGAAAAGATTTAATTACTCAACGCGTTTTTTTCGCATTTCTCACGGAAAATTATTTCGTCATCATTACAATTTCACGATTAACTTCTAAATGCATATATTACTTGATTATAGATTATTTTTTAAGTGTTAAATTATTATTAAAATCTCTCGATTGCATCATAAATAATGATCCTCTGCGTCAAATTTAATTACGACTTTTTTTTATTACATATGCTATGAATTTACTTATTTACATACATGGACTGGCTTTAATTAATATGCAAAACTCATCTACACTCAGAAAAAAATGACAGTGATATGACTATGAAGGTAACAACTATGCAAGTTTTATATCTAGAATTAATACACATAGTTGAGTAAATTATTATATGTCTGCAATAATTAGAAAATAATTCATTAAATTATTTACGTTAATTCTACATATAAAACTTACCTAATTGTCACCTTTAGTTGCTACTACTGTTTTCTGAGTTTACGTATGTATTTAAAAACTAAATCTCGCAAGCACCTTCATTAAGCAGAATCAAATTAGCAAAATTAAATCAGGTCTGTTGAAATATTTAGTACGCAAAGTACTTCAAAAGCAACGTCAAGTCACCCAGTATAAGAATCGCCTAATTATCGCACCGCGGTGAAAACGTGCATAAAAGAAATCTCAATCGAGACAGTGCTCGTCGCGAGAAATGAACAGCTGTTTTGTACAATGACTCCTCTCGATGACAACGATCACGGCAAAGTAACTTGAACCCGTTCATCGTGCTCGATAACCTCTTCTCTCCCGACGACGATGACGACAGTTAAACAAGGATAAATCTTGCGTACCATTTCCACGATACTCTATTATTAAAAACGCATAATAATGCACTTTAAAATATCATCAATACGTCTTTGCAAAAATTAAAATAGATTACTAATAAATTAACGATAAGGTTGTATATTTTTCTCTTCGGTCAGATTTGATCGATAATAAGAATAAAAGAATTTTTTTCTTTTCAGACTAAGACGATAAAGTCTTTTGACTTTCCTCCAATTCTTGAGATCGACTTCTGAGTTTTTAAAGGATTAATTACTGACCCCGCAAGGGACAGTGGGATGCCCATTGAATTTCTAGCATTTGGCGTCTCAGGTTCCAAACTAAAATTAGCAACTTGTACAACCGAGAGAACGCCGTTGCAACTTGCAACACCGTACTATTCGTCGCCGAATTCCTACTCTCGTCTAGTGAGACACATGCCTTTCTAGACATCTTTTTCGACCCCGACTGTCCCCTCTCCCCTTGCTCTGTTCTCAACGAGTTCGTTCTAACGCTCACTTCGCGAAATTACCTTGCCATGAATGTTACAGGCGGCATTTTTTTAAATACCATAACGCTTATACTTCACATTGCTAATTCCATTTTGTCGATCTCTCACTTTTATTCATAAAATGTGAGAAACAAAAAAATATATTTAGCTAAACTTATACTAGTCCTTGAATCGTCGCAAAAATGAATAGTTTAATAGTGAGATTATATTTGTTTCTCCGAGAGAAAAAAATTCAAAGCTTTAGCCATTACAAATTAAAAGCCTTGAAATATTTGGAGCCCTATTAAAATAAAATGTTTTTAAATAAAAAAAATGTTTTTAAGAAAAACTGTTTTTCGACGACTTTCCCAGCTAGAAACATCTTTAATTTTCTTAAAACCCCTTCAAGATGTTTAACACATTTTTCCTGAAGTGTATAATATAAAAATAGTTTTAATTAATGTACAGCTTATAAAGTTAGACATTTATTTATATCCTATGTTATTTTATAACACTAATTATTCTCAAAAATATATATTGATATACTATAAAAATATGCCAACATATATTTTATTGTATCCATTGCTTCATAAGAAACATTTCGATTTAAAGGTCAATGTTTTTGCTTATATAGTACATTTAACATTTCACAATTTATATCAGTGACATATTTTCAATAATAACAACGTGCTTGCTAATTGTAGAATTTAAAAGTTTTTATCATTCTACTTAGAAAATGGAATAAAAATAGAATGCTTTTTGTCGAAGAGAAAAATGTTCCCATTTCTGGTCACTTTTAGAAAAGATAAAGACTGGAAAACTTTGATTTAGTGAGGCTTAATGAACTCGTGTGCAATCTTAGCCAATATAATACGATACAAACAAATACTAGACTCGTTTATCTTGAAACAGATTTATCGTAAATTCTAAATAATGTATTAAGCTGAGACAAATAAAATACTCCAAATGAAATATCTGAACGAATAATATATCAGCCGTCTGTCGAGTGTGTAGAACCGCGCTAACTCGCAGGATTACGAGAAAAAGGGAAAATATGTGGCCGAAAGGAACTCGGGACGGATCGAGTGTTCGCGAGAGCGAAAGAGGAGCGCGGCGGAGAGAAAAAGAGAAAACGCAAAGCGGATAGTATAGAGCAACGGGGGGAGGGTTACGGCAGACATAGTGAGACGGTCGAAAGAGGCATGGATGGACGGACAGACGGACGGACGTTCTGGCGGGGGAGAAAGAGAGAGGGAAGGAGAGAGAGAGAGAGAGAGAAAGAGACGACTGGGTGGGGCAGCAGCCAGACGCCCCGCGGCAAACTGTCAAACTACAGCGGCGGTTCCGCAAGCCGTCCCTCCGTCCTCTCGTCGCCCGTTGACCGCCCCCATGATTAAAACTCACTATGGCTTTTCCGCGACTACGCGTGTGCGCGCGCGCGCACGCGCGAATGTTTCCCGATATTCTCTGGTAGACACGAGCAAGCGCCCGCGTGCGGAAACGAGACTTTGAGAAAGCATATCATCGGAGAAGGAAGAGATAAGAGGAGGGGGAACGAGAGAATAGAAGATAAGTTAGGTTAGGTTAGGCACTCCTTTGCCTACAATATACCATGCTTCTGCATTCCGAATTTATTTGGAAGTCGTTTGTCAAGTTCCCGGATTCCATCCTGCCACGCTTCGCGTATATAAGAAACCTTCAATGGAAAAAAAATATATATATTCTTATACTTTTCATAGAAACGAGAAGCAGAAATGAAAACAAATGCCAAGGTAACTGGACAATAAGTCGCGATATCGCGTTTCTTGGAGGTCAGAAGTCCATTAGGTAAACGTATAAAGCAAGTATCATTTTCCCAGAATTGTGACGATACATTCTACAAAGAAACATAGCCTTTTGGGTATGGAAAGGTCTTTCGGGAACAGATCCAAATAAATGTGCAGAAAGATATCGAGCCATTGCACAAACTGTGGAATACGAGGCGGATAATGGCGAGAAAGGAGAGAAGGATGATGAGGGATACAAAGCGCGAATACACAGGGCATCGTGAGTTCGTCGTCGCACGCCACGTTAGCACGCGCTCGCGCGCACGACAGAGCTGCGCGAAGTAAGCGGCGAGTTGCACGCGCACTGCGCACCCGTCGTCGCCGTCGATCGGCTGAGAGGGTTCAAGGAAGAGAGAGATAAAGAGAACGAGCGTATGCGCATTTGTGTGTGCGTATGCGTATGCGTGCGGTGTGTGTGTGTGTGTGTGTGTGTGTGTGTGTGTGTGTGTGTGTCACAGAGGACAATCGTATACTTACCATCATTTTATAATTGATCTTCCGCGCGGCCACGTTTTCCATTCTCACAGACATGGTCGCAATGTGGCTGTTACCGAAGTAGGAAGTACAGGAATCCGTCACGTCGCCGGTGGAGGATAGAAGCTACTACAGCCGCCGATGAGAATAATAACAATAACAAAATACGCCGGCGCGACGGTGCGCAGCCTAAAAACCACCGTCAGCCGTCGCCGCCGGTCGCTTTCGCGCCGCCACTCTGGTTCCTTCACCTCCTCCTCCTCCTCCTCCTCCTTTTTTACCTCCCGCACAGCCGTCGCTTCCTCCTCCTCCTCCGCCTCTTCCACTCGTTCGTCGGCGTTTCCTCGTTCTCGCCGTTCCGCGGCCGACGACGTTGTCACTTGCCGCACTGCAACACCGCGCGACGAGTTTCCTCACTCACCGCCGGCACTGATGGGACAACTGAGCAGAGAAAAATTACACACTGTAGCGCACTCGCACAACACGACACGACGACACGGCACGGCACGTACAGACAGACAGACAGATGACCAAAACGCAAATTCGTGCACTCTTTCGATTGGCCGCTCAGTGGAAACCGAAGCAAAACGAAGAGTGAGAGAAAGAAAGGAAATATACGTGTATAAGGCCGACGACGTAGTATAAGAATACCGGGCGAGACGCTGCTGCTTGCTCGGCGTGCAGCGACAAGGGATGGCCCAATGGCAGCGTAGGAGGGGGGTGGAGAGGGTAGGGACTGATCGTACCGTGCTGTACCGTACTGTATCGTACCTCTAGCTTTAACGGCCTAGTCACCGTCGTTATTATTGTCGTCGTCGTCGTCGTCGTCGTCACGAAATCCGACGTGATGATAAATCACTTTACGTCGTCGAATAGAGAAAGAGCAAACGTGTGCACGGTTAGAGACGAAGAATGCGAGAGAGGGGAAGGATAGAAAGAGAGAGATATACGTTGGCGATTCTATAAATTATGGAGGAAGAAGCGAGATAGAATAACGAGAGGGAGAGAAAGGAAAGAGAGAGAAAGAGAGGAGGGGAAAGGGGATACAAGAGAAAGAGGCCGCTGCCGAGCCGATGGCGATGCGAGCGACGACGGATGTCAAGAGGGTGTGTCGTGGAGCACACTTTTCATCACACTTGTAACGCTTTTAAATTACCGCACGGCACGCACCGGCGGCCGGTTAGTCGGTTGGTCTGTCGGTCGGTCGGTCGGTCGTGCCGTACACTCTCGCCGCTTGTGCACCTTTTTCCACGTACTCGACGAAGACGCCGTCTTTGATTTTCCTCTCGTTACTCTATACACGATACGAAATGAACGATCAAACGGACGAATACACGCCACGCATGCACCAGCATGCACGCACTGCACACTCGATGAGGGTTTCCCCGAAGAGGAAAAGAAAGAGAGAGAAGAAAAGAGAGTGAAAAAGAGCTCCCGATGCTGCGCCGCGTTGCGCCGCACCGCACCGCGCCGTGAAACGGAGAGATACGACTAACGGCGGCGCCGCGCGACCGACCGTAAAAACTGCACCGAGTGTAGATCGACCGCCGCTTACGCGCTTACTCGTTTCAAGCGCGATGCCGTTGCGGTTACGGTTGCCACCGCTGCCCGGCCGCTACTGACTACTATCGCCGAACCTCCAAGGCGGCGTCGCGTCGGCACGAAACCGTTGTAGATCGTCGACGAGACGATCCTCCGAATTTCTCTCCTAATGGCTCCTTTCCCGTGGAGAAATCAGTGGGGCGACCTCCTCGTTCACTCTCGGCGCTGACGTCGACGTTGCCGTTGCCGTCGTCGTCACGACAATCATCCAGCTAAACTACTAGCCGTTGCTTCACACACGTGCACCACACACATACATACACATACACAACGGCCGCTCCTTTTTTTTCTCTAATACTCCTCTGCCACGCTCTTCCTCCTCGTTCACCTCTTCAGTTCTTCCTCCGTCTTCGTCTCTCGTTTTCCCGCGCACCACGAATCTCTATCTCGAATTTCGCTACCTCTTTCACGATAAAACGGCTCTTTCCTTTTCTATCTCAACGGTTATACAAATTACACCGCGTGCCTCGCGGGGTGAGAGCACACACTTACTTTTTAATTTACGGCGCGTTATTACAAAAATAGAACTTGCGTGTAGAACGTGTAGTACGGAGCGTTTGGAGTGTCTTTCTTTCTCTCTCTCTCTCTCTCTCTCTCCTCCGTGTGTTTCCCTTAAATAAGATTAATGTACAATTGGTTAATTGTTACTATAGGAAACATTTAATGTGTGTGTTGTCTTGTAGGTAGAGACTAAGCTACTGCCCGGCGAGGTGCGCCCATCTTGCCCGAAACTGAGGGTAGTCGCCGATAAGCGGCGCTGCCATCGGCTGCACCGAACGATGGGGCTCCGGCGGCCGCGCCTGTCTGCGTTGCCGCCACTCAACACACGCGCGAGACTCGGCGTCGCTTCGGTCAACGTCGAACGCGAGCGAGAGGAAACGAATGCTCGTGTTGTTGACACGACGAAGATGGCTGATTCAACGAGCGCACGATTACAACGAAACGAGACGCGAGAGAAGGACTGGTGACGCGGCCACGCCGGCGAGTTTCGATGTGCTGCAGTTGGCAGTAGTGCGAAACGCGCGGAGCGCCGCGGCGGCGGTGGATTGCCGTTGGGGGGAGATGCGGTGAGCGAACGGAACGACCAAGAGGGTTGGGAGGGAGGGAGAGAGGGAAGACATTCATTACGCTCGCTCTCCTCTGAGAGAGTCTTATTGAACTCTGTCCGAAAACAGATCGTTTTTACTTGGAAACGATCTGTATAGTTGTATTTATCGTGACGAAAAATAGGGAAAAGAAATGAAAAAGTATTTTTATCAATGAATAATGATCGAGTGTGCTGATTGTGCCGAACGTCCTGCAAGTGTCAGACGGACAGTGGCACGTCGTTGCTAATTAAAGGTCAGAATCACTGACTGAAATAAATTCATAAAGTGAAAATGTAAAGAAAGCTTCTCGGCGTAGGAGAAGTTAGGAGCAGAAAAGAGAGAAGGAGAGGGAGAAGATATCGAAGAGAAAAGGGTTGGATAACGGCGCGTACGCTCATCCTCGCTCATCCATTCACTGCAGCCACGCAAAAATCGAAATGCGTGTTTAGTCTACTCGCTTGCACGAAAAAAAACATGCTCATTACCAACCTGAACGGATGAATCGCACATGAGTCAATAACGTCTGATAATTTAATGATAACGTGAAAAGAGAGATCCGCGAATCTTTTGTCCGGAATCCTGACATACTCTCTTATATAGTACAGACCTTCAAAGGACATTCTAAAAATATCCAACTAGGACGTATGTATATGCATGGGCGTAACCAGGATTTTGTTTAGGGGAGGGGGAATCAAATTGGAATCGAACTGAGACTTTTTAACCCGGGAATGGGATGGAGTAGCCGATTGATATGGACTATTAGACTTGTTTTGTTTTATATTATTTTTAATTAATTACTAGTAGATAAATCACATATTTAAACTAATTTACTTAATTTTTTTTTTAAATTGTAAACTGATTCTTCGAACTGGAAAAACTTAAATTTTATAACACTATAGCCGTTTTGGATTCCCAGAAAATCTTTCTACAACTTCCATCTCTAATTCTTCTTTTTTGAAAATTAATTTCGTAATTGTGTAATTTTTTTCTAATTATTTTTGTGCTTTACTCTCGATTACATTCATGTCCATATATATCTTCTAAACATTCTGAAAACATTCCTGAAAACTATCCCAGGAAGTCTCCGTATAGATTGTCGTGACGAAATTTTTCTCAACAAACAAAGGTTCAATTGATTCTCGAGTTTAATCTTCGCAGCTGAGTTTGTTTAAATCTCCGTAGCGCATTCATTTGTGCAATTTACTTGGCCATGTACAAAGTCCGCTTCTCTAGAGAGTTTCCGGAATTCGTAGTCGGCTACCTGAAAGGGACGAGCCGTCGAGAGAAAGCGAGATAGAGAGCAGAGAGATACAGTGAGAGGGACGAGGAGAGCGAGAGGAAGAAGCCGGCTCTCGCGCTCTCTTTCCGCAGACCGAAGGATCGATTGTTCCGATCTTTTCGCCGTTTCTGCAGGGGTACTTCCATGGAAAAAATTTTATATATCAAACCAATACAAACTCTCTACTGAAATTATTATTGTTTCGTTTTTTCAATCAGAGCTAGAATCCTGTAAACGCAAAAATATTAGAAATCCTCTAACACAGTTATTTTTTCACTAATAAAAAAAGCGTGATACGATAAAAAAAAGAGATGCAGGAAAAATAATTAAAGAACAATATTTTGTCCAGAATGGGAATATAAGAAAAAAAAATTGAAGAACAAAATTTATATAACAGACTATAATAATTATTTTATTTTTATTGGTTTACTCACTAAATGTAAATATATATTTTATCACGCATATATGGAAATTTATATGTTTGTTCGAGTTATACCTATAATAATGCGATATTATTGTATTCCATCTTCGAAATGCAAATGTTGATTAAAATCGCGAATGCGTTAAAATTGAAACAATGATTTCAAATGTATTTACCAATTCACGGAATATTTGTAAACATTAGTAACATTCATTGCGTATGCAGAGAAATATTTATCACATAAATGAGGCATACAGGGGCGGTTTCCTTTTCGATCTCTCTCCTCTCGCATATGTGCCCCCTCGCGATCTCTCTCCCTGTCCTATCTTTCTCTTTCTCTATCTACCAATTCCTTTCTCTCCTTCCCTCTCTCTCTCTCTCTCTCTCTCTCTCTCTCTCTCTCTCTCTCCTTCTCTCGGTACGCCGAGTTCCTTCGCACCTTGGATGCAGAGCGTGAGCGCGTTTATCGATCGATCGCAGAACGACCTCGCTCACGTCTCCTACTCCTCCTGGAGGTCAGGAGTCGGCGGGCTGGATTTTTCCTTCCCTGCCGCCCTTTCGTGCAATTTTCTCTTCTTTTCCTCGCGACGCGACGCGACGCAGCTCAACTCGATGCGGACAGCATCCCTCCACCGCCGCGACGCCCCGCGCAGCTTGCCGGTCGTCGACTCGCCGCCGATGTACGTCTCATTGACGAGCTGGATGTCGTGCGAGTAAATCGATGTGCGATTGTCGTGAGAAGATAGCGATCAGAAATATACATTAATCCTAATTATTGAGATTTTGCAAAAAAATATAAGGTGAAAAAAAAATCTTTTAATTGGACAGAAATATTAATTACAAAGACACGTTACAGTCGAATTCGACTGCAACGTAATATACTTATTAATAAGTATTTCAAATTATGTAAAAATTTATTTGTCTGCTCTCCGATGAAATATTGTTTGTCACGTCGACAAACTATAGTAAATGGATGATAATAGTCAATTAAAATTTATAAGATTGTTAATGCTAAATTATAAGATTGTTAATGAAAGTAGATAAAAAATGAATTAGAATGAATTAAGTAGAGAATACATAAGTTTCTGACTGTTCAATAGTTGTAATGATGAAAGTGTGCTAATGAAAATTCGACATTTTCTTCCGGTATCTATAACAGAGATTTTAGACAAATTATAACGGTGAAACATTTTAACGTGTTACGAAAAATGAAATTAATAATATCCCAGTTGATGTGCAATTTCACAGAACAAGTTTGATCAAAATACTGAAGCTCGTATTTATAGTTTCTGCTGAGGAATTCGGTCGAGAAATTAATTTCAAGATAGTTCTTGGAGAATAAATCAAGTATTTGTTATACATAATCACGATTCTCTCGAAAATAAGCTTAATCTCGAAACATGGCCTTTTATACGCGATTCAATTCTCGCGTTGCCTCTATAATATCTCTAATAAAGGCTGATTAACATTACGAGTAAAACTAATCATGAATTTGACAGTCTTTAGCCTACTTGAAGAAAACTTGGTTGATAGAATCTGAAATTAATAATAAAATCGAATACCGGAAGCTCGAATTACTGATGTCAAGAATATTAAGCTGTAAACAGATCTGTAACTTGTTTACGTCTTATAAATGTCATTTCTAAATATTATCGAGTTCTTTAGTTTAAAATAACTTGCCAGACTTGCTGGAAAAGATTATCGCAAAACAATGTATACATATATGTATAATGCTATGTCAAATCTTTCTCTCACTCATTCTTTCTTTTCCTCGCCTTCACTCTTTTTCCGCTCTCTTTCCTCTAGAATCGCTATTCTAGAGTTAAACAGTGCATTATGCACGATGTGTCACTTTGTCACTTGCAAGGGATCATCGAGGACACCCGGCGTCGTGTCGTCTTAGTCATCGGGCCTCGTCTATCTCGATTCTCGCTAGGTTCGTTTCATTTTTGTCGTCTTCGTATCGAGGAACGTTCAAGAAAGCAGGCCATCGCTTTTGACCGATGTCTCTTCTCGTGTCGTTCGCATTTCTCACTCTCTTTCTCTTCCTCCATCCTCCCCCCCCTCTCTCTCTCTCTCTCTCTCTCTCTCTCTCTCTCTCTCTCTCTCTCTCTTTCGTTTTCTTGATCACAAACGCATACAGTCTTACACATCAGAGATTCACAAGGTCAAGGTCGTTAGCCTTCCTTAGCATCTTCCTCGGCATCCACCTCCGCGAATCTTTTACAAGTTTCTCTCCTTCCTTCCTTCTCATATTTATTCTAATTAATATAATTCTTTTGCAAGATCATATATTTTTTACGTTCGGTCAAAACCAGAAGCCATTTCCTTTGCGGATCCATGACTTATACGCATTAAGTCAACCCTAAGAGGATTGACGTTGAATTTTGAGCGTATTACTGTTTTCCAGCTTATCTAGAGGAGCTAATTAAGATATAAGCTTAATCTCAGAATGTATTGCATATAATAGTATAAATATATCGCTATTACTTAAAAATTATTAATTTAGTATACATAATTTTAACATTTTATACACTTAACCATTTATTAAAGCTATCGTTCATAATATTTATAGAGTTGCTATCTTATTATTAATATTAATTATCTTTAATAATGACATTTAGAAAAAAACTAAAGCTGATTAAAACTAATGCTTTGGTAAACGCTTGGGACTAAACAAAATCTTTGCTATCTTATTATTAATATTAATTATCTTTAATAATGACATTTAGAAAAAAACTAAAGCTGATTAAAACTAATGCTTTAGTAAACGCTTGGGACTAAACAAAATCTTTCCGTAGTATAGAACGATTACAGTCGCTCGATCGGTCTGAGATGAGAGCGAGCAGCACTTGGGACATTCCGTTGCTGCCACTCGTGCGAACAGGTTCCCGAGCGATTGGAAAAAAGAAAACGATGAAAAAAAGGAAAGGAGGAAAGACGCGGGACGAAGAAAAAGGAAGCGATGTGAAGCGACGAGCTAAACAGAGTCATTCGCGGCGGATCGTTTGATGTAAATAACGAAATCGCAAGATTACATTGGACATTC